CGGTGACGTGGCCACGGTTCCTCAGGTGTAACAAATGCTCTGGCGGGGGGCTCTGGCGGGGGCGGGAGTGAGGGGCGGCACCTGTGCGGGGGCAGGGAGGACATGGAGATCTCTGTACCTTTCACTCAGTGTTGCTTCGAACCTAAAACTGCTCCAAAAAAATAAAGTCTGTTTAAGAATATTACGTGGCTTTAGGATATTCACAACCATTTTAATCCTTCCCTGTGAACCATAATTGCTAAACGAAAGTGACTGTTTAAACTGAAAAATAGAAAATTCTGTTCAACTAAATAAAGGTTTAATATAGAAAAGTCTGTCTGCCTCCCCCTGCCAGGGATGCTTTTGGAAATGCCATTCCGCTGTGCGATCATAACAAACCCAGCTCAAGTTCACCCGTGCAACAGAGAGGGGAAAAATAATAAAAATAAAATTCTCCCTGACACTCACTTCACTGCTACGGAAACCTGCTCAGCTGGCTTTGTGTGATTAGGGACATATTTAAATCTCAGGATCTTTGTATTATTAGAAAAATATCACAAAATATTATAAAATTTGGATTGGCCTTAACGACTCAGAGAGAGAAAATATTCTTAATTGTCAACGTTGTATTTGTTATAAAGCAACTATAAAACTAAAATATTAAAATAGGATTTTTGTGCCAGAGGAAGTTCAGCCTCTATCTAAACGAAGGAAGGAAAAGTTCAAACAAAGGATATGTGGATCCTAAACATTTTTTTAACTGCACCAAGAGACCTTCTGTAGTCAGCCAAGTTTTCATTTTTCTTCCATGGGTACCACCGTGATCATTTCAAATGAGCGTCTTCTTTCTTTTAAAACCGCTTCTGAATTAGCACACAAAAAAGGAAAAAGCCACCTACACCCTTTGTTTTCCTCTGCAGAGATTTTTAGATCCCCCTATATAATCACCAGGTAACCTTTCTAATCCTCGCCTCCCTGTGGTGGGCACAGCCTGGGCCGGCATCTGTTGCCTGGTCCTGTTCGGGTCGGAGCTGCTGGAACGAGCTCCCCAGTGGACGAGACTCACCGGGCTGGTACCAGCTGTGCCTCTGCACCCTAATCCATAATTAAACAGGCCAGGAGCGTAAGCAGACGGAGGTAGGGCGATTTGGTTCAGGAAAACCACAACAAGGCGCCTTTTAAAGTTTTATTAGCCTAAAGCAAGAGAAAACACAGTGCAACCAGGTAACACATGCTTCAAAGGCCCCACAACAAGAACTGCAGAGCTGCTAGATCTTGCAGCCCCCAAAGAGCACGACCGCGGCAGGGAGGGCGCTTCCCGCAGACCCCACACGCTAGGCACGTGCCCGCGGACACGTCGGCACCGTCTGCCAACCCGCTCCCCGCCAGGTATCTGTTATTTACCCTCCTGTGCACGTAAGTCCAGCCTTGTGGAAAACATTAGCTTTTCCCCTTAAACAGACACAAAATAACAATCACCAAGTTGCGAAAATTAAAAGCATGATATCTAACCAACCGTCTGCCCACACATGAGGTCACGCTGGTCACGGCCATGCATCGGGAACAAGCACGCGGCATTCCTGGGATTTTTTTTTTTCTTATCTCCAGGCTGGAAAAAAATAATTTTATTCGCCTGGAGACGAGGCGGAGGCCGGGATGAGCTTGGGCTTCGCCTGCTGGGGCAGGGACACCTCCGGGATCTTCTCCCCGTGTTTGTACACGCTGACCGTGACGTCGATCTTCTCGCCGCCGTACTTGTTCTTGACGCTCATGCTGTACTTGCCCGAGTCCTCGGAGGTGACGCCCTTGATGGTCATGCTGACAAACTTGGCCTGCTCCAGCTTCACCAAGAAGTGCTCGCTGAGCGGGATGTCCTGGTCGTTCTTGAACCAAACCACCTCGGGGTCGGGGTTTCCGAACACCGTGCAGGTCAGATTCAGGGTCTTCGGGAGAAAGGTGGGCGGAGAAGGAAGAGTTAGAAAAGGAAGAGCCACGTCGCCTCCCTGGTCGGCGCGCCTCAGCCACGCAGCCACGCGAGGTGACACGTGCCATCCCCTCCGTCGGCAAGCCTTTCGCACACGGACGCACCTGGACGCCAGGGGCCAAGGGACCGCCAGGTGCGAACAGGCCACTGGGAGGGGGTGCTCGTGAGAAAAACCAGTGACAATCTGTCCTGTTCGTTCTCAGTTTTAAGCCACGGCCTGAGCCGATTAAAGAATTGGAAGGTAATGAAGCTCTGTAGTTTACAGTAGGTACGTTTAGCGTGTGTCTGAATTTCCTCAATATTTACAGGTATGGGTCCCTTTCACCAGCTCCTCTGGCCAACCCGGAGAGTATATTGTCTCGTAACCAGCAAACCAGCCGCGGCAAATGCATCCTTGACGCGTGGTTAAAACGCGCTCGCGGCGTATGACTCGGTAACGCGGCTGCTAATTTCTCAGTTACATCTTTATGACCAGACCACGCTTGTTCAGCCTCAGGAGCTCGCTCCTTAGCTGCTACAGGAGAGGGCTATAAATTTTTGCATTTTGGCCTAAAAAAATTCTCCCCAGTTTCTACGTCCCATGACATTGAGTTGGAATCGCTGAAGCGACCGGAGAAGTACCGGTTAGACATCAATTGTTCTACTGGCAGGTGACACGTTAAAACTCCAATAAGTGGCTTCCGTTACGTGTCCCAAAATGACCTTGGGAACTGTCCCAGAGATTGTTTTTTTCTTTCATTTTATAGAAGCTGCACTATTTCAGGTGGGAAGGCGGTGGCTTGCCCCTCGCACAGATGGTCAGGGTGTGGGCTATGGCACCTCCTGTCCCTACGGCGGCTCCTCTGAACGAAGAGACGCCAAGGACCCCCTGGGAGGTGCCTGAGCCACGCGTGGTCCCAAAGCCACTGCCTTTGGATCCGGAATGTTAGGCTGTTCTGTCCTTTGATAACATGGGATTTGTCAGAAGCAGCCGGGGATAAGGGAAGGCGGGTGGGACGTCCACGTCCCTCATAGGCCGAGCATGGACACATAACCCCCTCCCCAGGGTTCCCTTCTCTGGGCCCGAGAGAGGGGCTGCACTGCACGGTGCTTAGATCCTGCTCGTCCTAGCTCTGCCGTGTGCTCCTACCTTTCCTTCCATGATGGTCACCACGTCAGGCAAACCGCCGACCACCCTGCCACGATCTGCAACAAGGAAGCAACTCGGTTAAGAGCATCCCCGAGGGTCCAAGCAGGTGCCCTGGGCACCGGGGAATGGCGGGGAGGAGCCTGCGCTCTCCTGAGAGAGGCCCAGAGGGAAAAGGTTCATGTGTGTACACTGAGGGATAACACACAGGTGAGGAGATCGTTGACCCCGTGCGCGGCAGGTGTGAGACTCTGCAGGAAGGAGGGGAGGAGAGCTGGTCTCTGAGCGGGAAGGATGCGGCAGGGACCGAAGGCAGGGAGAGCTGCCTGCACCTGACCGGGCAGACGGGGAGGGTCCTGCCCCTGGACAGCAGGTTCCCCAGGGGCAGAGGGTGGGGGGCTGACGCTGGGAGGGGGGCCGGGCAGCAGCGCAGGTGTTGGAGGGGTCGTCGAGAGAGGGCAGGAAGGTTTGCTGGTGTTTACTTAATACACAAAATCAGTGCTCTAAAATACAGGCCCTTTTGCCCCACCCAAAATAATGCATCATTCCTATTACGATCTAACGTGTACTTACTCTTCTCTGCAAAAGCAGCAGCCCTAAAAATTAAAGGGGGTGGGGAGGAGAGAATAAAAAGAGTATTAGGAAAGAGCTTCCAACAAAAACACGCACACTTGTGCGTTCACTCGCGGGGGAGCAGAAGAGAGCAGGACGTGGGCGGCTTTCTCCTAGAACTCGTTCGGGTCATGGGATCTGGGAGGTACATCTATGTATTTTTCCTGACAGCTGCCTATGATGAGGTAGAAAATGTCCTGATGTCCAGATGTCAAAACCCACAGAAAAGTTTTGCATTCAAACTTGTACGTTGAAGGGATTTATTTTTTTTCACCAAATTCACCAGATTGCATCGGAAACTTTTAGCTACTTTTGAAATTGTCCGTTTCTGATTCATCCGACTTGTCCCCGCACCCAATCAACAAATATTTATAGATTAACCCAGCATGGGCCAGAGACTGTTTTCAGCTTTGGATATGCTAAAACTCAGACGCACATTTGAAAATCCCAGATTATTCTTTAAAAAGTTGCTCTGTAGCATGTGTTGCCAAGATGATGATGATTTCAGGAATTCTTCATTTTAATCATTTAAAATAATCCAGGTTATTATGACTCCAGGGAGTTAATTTATAAATGCATTTCTGGTTTAGGAGAACGCCCGCCCTTCTACATGTCGAATTATTAAATTGCCATCTTTATCCCAGGAACAGCAGGTTCTTTGGGTCACCCAGGCATCTATCTATACATATTCCCACATGTGGCCAAAATGACTTGGGGTGAATTGGACCCTTGCATGATATAATAATAACCAAATACAAAAATCTTACTTGAGTTGCTGGAATTCCGCAAATGCTTCATCGAAAGCTGCAAGGAAATAGTTCACATGTTACTAACCGCTGCAATGTTCAGCTTTGGATGATTCACTCGAATGTCCTGCTAGTGAGTATGGTTAATGAAAACTGATAAACAGCCAACTGATACACTGATTTTTCAGAAGTTATTTTCTCTGAATGAAAATCACAGAATCAGATTGTCTCCTGATATACCATCCCTGTTAGCACCTAAATGCATCTCTAAATACAAAATTATCCGATGCCGAAGAGTGATTCTACCTTGTCCAGACAGGTCCAGAGAGCGCTGGTGATTGCTTTTGCCGTCGAAAATCTCGAAGGTGTATTTCCCCTTGTCCTTCTCCGTGGGCTCGCAGATATGCAGCCAGGCCATGTCCTCGCTGCCTCCGATCCGCATGTGCTCGCTGGACGGAATCTTGGCGTCTCTTTTGAAACGTAACAGGACACACTCGAGTTAGGGTCTCTGCATTGCACACGCAGTACCAACGCGGTGGTATCGTGCCCGAGTGGGCAGGAAGCCTTTTCTAACTTGCTGATACTAACGTCAAAACAGAGTTTTCTGTCAACTAACAAATGGACTAATTATATCAGTAACTCAGATCTGAAAACCTCCTAAAATTAAATGATACTTAATTCTTAAACACATACTATTACTTATTATATACTTGTCACAACCTCGTGGACTCTACAATACTCTCTACAGTATAGTAATTCCACGAAAAATTGAAAATAGAACTCCTGTCCGACCTAGCAATTGCACTTCCGGGTATATACCCGAAAGACCCGAAGGCAGGTATTTGTACAGGTATTTGAACAGATATTTGCACACCCGCACTTTGAGCAGCACTGTTCGCAACAGCCGAGAGGGGGGAGCCACCCACGTGTGCACTGACAGACGAGTGGATAAACAAGATGCAGTCCATGCGTGCAGAGAAATATTATTCGGCCTTAGCAATAATACGTTTCTTAGTTTCAAATAGCTGAGCGCCACCTAGACTCTGTCTCCCCGTTGAAGGGAAGTGTGGATAAAAGTGGACATTCCCAAATAATGGAGAAGGCGGAATTGAGTAATTCCGACCTCCTACAAGACGAGCCCACAGCATGGAGCAGCCTGAGGACGTAGCGCATCCGACCACCTTTGCAACTGCTTTCCTAACAGCGAACGTCAGGTGGGGACTGGGGACTCCCTGTGCCTTCTGAGAGAGCCTCTCGCCCTGGGGGGCTGTTCCAGGAGGCCCAGGCACCTAACAGCAGCTGAAAGCCAGACCCCAGGGAGCTCCCCTGGGGAGGGTCCCACCAGCTCCTCGGCCCCCACCCTCCCTGTGGACCCGCTAATGGCAGGGATGCTGGGGGGGGGTGTCTCCTCTCCTACCCATCAGCCCAAGGGTGCATTGCGATTTTAGGGGAGCATTTTCACAGTCAGACCTCTGCACCTGACACCTCCTGAGCTAAATTAAAATATACACCCTGAGGTTGAAGCTTGCTATTTTCTTCCTTCTGTAAAGACACTACGAAATTTTCTTTAGTTTCTGAGATACTTCTGAGACTTAAGTGGTCAATACTTCCACAGTTTGAGGTCTAGCCATGTCCGGATGATAGATGAATTTCACCTTTGAGCAAGAGAACAAAATCCTTTTTCTGAAGAGCATTTCTGCTGAGTCCCTCTCTGCCTGCTCCTAACTCACGTTGAATAGGTTTCCAACCCCTCCTGTAAAGTGGCATTTTCTACAGTCCTTGATAGATGTCTCAGCGTTTTTAACCAAAGAACAATCGTCTTTGCTTACGCTTGCATTTCACAAGATTCTCATTGCACTCGATCGATTCTATGTCACCCATTAAAGCAAAATATTCCAGTATCCACACTGTGCGCCTCCAGCTACCATGTCCCTGGCATCACAGATTTCGTGAAGTAGATCATTTAGCTTTAAAGGGCTAAATTATATTTCAACAAATTTTCATATTACTCTCTATGCCTCCAGTTGATATCTAATAAGAGCTCATTTAATAGTCAAATAGTGAAATATACCCAGATATTATAGTTTAGTTATAGAACATATAGTTTAGTTATAGAATATAACTGCATGATATAGTTTAATGTATAGTCTAAAATGTAGTTCAACATTGTTTAATAGTCAAATAGTAAA